CTTTAAAACTATATGTTTTTATAATTTTATCACATTAGATTTGATTTTCAATTGATTTATCTTGGAAATGGGTGTAATTAACTTATTACTGTGAGAAAATTACTAAACGTAATAATATTAAATATGCTCCTCTTAAAAAATAAAATAAAAGGTTATTCTTACTTTACATTTTTTCAACTATATCAAATTGAAATAAAAATCAAAATAAAAAATAAATCATTACANTTTTTTTTTGGAACCGCTAGCAGTTATCATCTTTATAAGTCAGGTATAGAACTTATGTAGGTTAGTTAGATTATAGATAAGTTCCTACATATGTGTTATGTAAATCTCTTATGTGAATGTATATCCTCTGCACAATGCTTTATATTCAAGAGAGAGCAAGACTTTCTACATTTGGAGGATTTGAAGGTCCTACAGAAGTTACTTGGGGTGGGAATCTCTTAAGTTTTATATGTATGAATATTAGGTCAAGAAAGGTGAAGATGTAATCCAAACCTGGTCAGAAGTTTTGAGTTTAATGTTTCCTTTACTTAACTGAGCTTTCATGTATGTTGTCTACTAAGTTTTCAACATATAATGATCATGAAAAGGATCAAGATTTGTTTATATACTGCCATCTGTTTGTGTTTAATAATGTATATTTGAGCAGCTAAAGGGAAGTTAAGTGATGTAAAGATAATGAAGAACAAACGCGCATTGCCGTTCAATGACTTAGAGCATCTCCAATGTATTACTCCATTTTCTACTCTAAAATGGAGTAACTCCAAAATGCAGTTGAGTTTTAGAGCATCTCCAATGTAAAACTCCATTTTTTCTTTCAAAATGGAGTAAAAGTAATTATGGAGTAAAAATGCTCCAACCCTACTCTATTTGTAACTCCAAAATGGGGTAGTGAACAAACAAAAAATAGATTACTCCATTTATGGAGTAAATCTCATTATGGAGTAAGAAATGAAGTGGGGTTGGAGCATCTTTTACTCCATAATCACTTTTACTCCATTTTAAAGTAAAAAATGGAGTTGGGTTGGAGATGCCCTTACTCCAATGTATTACTCCATTTTCTACTCCAAAAGAATATTTTTAATATTATATTTATTTCAAAATTAGGAAAATCACCTTTCATTTATACTATTTGCAAAGCAGTCCATTTTAAATTTATAACATTTCTATTAAATACAATATTAACCACAATTAAATTTTTATTATATAAATAAAACTACTCAACAAGGTTTTAAAAGAATACATTTAATACATTAAAAACTACATTATATAGCTTAAACACAATAATACATCAATTCTAAATTATTCATTAGAATTATAATAATTTTCCCACAAATGATCAACTAATGCATTTCGAAGTAAAAAATGAGCTTCTTTATCTTTGATTTCTCTGAAATGGGAAAGAAACTTTTGGAACCTCACATTATTATTTTCTTCAATTTCAATTTTCCTTGACATGA